CACACACACACACACACACACACACACACACACTCACACTCACCCACACACACAGAGAGGGGATAAGGAATAACCCACTAACCTGAGTTGCCCATCGCGCAGCCGCAAAAAATCAAGAACGTCGGAGTGCACTTCACCAAGCCTTTGCACCTTTGCACAAACAGCCCGCACAGAGGAAAAGAGAGAGAGAGAGAGGGAGAGAGAGAGGGAGAGAGAGAGAGAGAGAGAGAGAGAGGGTGTAGGGAGCACGCAGCAAGACGTTCGTCGCAAGGGTGCGTAAGGCGTGTAGTAGTTTGTCGAGTAGGCAGCGTCCAAGATAGTTCGTAGGGCTGCAGCACATCGGGTAGCGTAGCCCGTCGTGTGTACCTAGAGTAGTTGGGCGGGCTGGTAACAACGGTCTGCAACGCTTTCCCGCGCAGCAACAGTCTGAAAGGCCCTACCAGTTCCCCAAGCAGCACGTGGCTATCCGGGCCGTTCAAGGTCCGACGGCCCAGATTGGCCCGCGATCTTAATGCTTTAAGCCCGCGGGGTGATCTGGGCCGTCGGGCTGGTAAACCCGAACGGCCTGGATTACCGCGCTTTCTTAAAACTTTAAGATCGGGAACGACGTTCGAGGTTCGGGGCCTAATCCGGGCCATCGGGCCGGTAGGTCCACAGACGGGCCGGATCCAAGAATTCTCACATTAGCGATTTTTATAAGTGTAGGGATTTGGTTCGTCCGATACCCAGCATAAATCCAGCTTCCTGTGCATTTACATTGGAATGGCTATTATTAGTAGTGTGTTGTTCCTTGCACAATCAAACAATCACTTTGAAGCTACTTTCAATGGCCTAATCATTGTATCAGTTTCTGCTCGAGTAGATAAGAAACATTGAGAAAAAGCAAAATACAAAGCGCAGACCCGGCATGAAGCGAACATCATGACTCTCTTTTTGAGAAAAAAAGCCCCATTAAAGCTGAAGCCCGGTCAAATTTCAATTGTCTTCATCCGGATAGAACGCCCGGTAATTATTGCCGTATCTGGACTGAAAGTTGCACCAAATACAAATATAATGACCATTCTATTCCGGTGAAGACGGTAGAAGACACAGGAGTTAACCAAGGCTGGCAAGCTAATGCACAACACAACCATGAGTGAGATTGACACCTTCAGAGGAAATACACCCCCCCCACCCTATCAGTTTCTGCTCTAGTAGATAATAAACATTGAGAAAAAGCAAAAAAAAAAGCACAGGCCCGGCACGAAGCGAACATCACGACTCTCTTTTCGAGAAACAAAGCCACATTAAAGCTGAAGCCCGATCAAATTTCAATTGTCTTCATGCGGATAGAATGCCCGGTAATTATTGCCGTATCTGGACTGAAAGTTGCACCAAATACAGCTGTAATGACCGAGCATTCTATTCCAGTGAAGATGGTAGGAGACACAGGAGTTAACCAAGGCTGGCAAGCTAATGCACAGCACAACCACGAGTGAGATTTACACCTTCAGATGAAATACACCCCCCCCCTCCCCTCCTCTACAGCAGACCTCGACACACCGCTGGAAGAGAAGATGACCATACTATAGTGGAGGGGTATACGTATGGGCTCGCAAAGTTTGCACTCAAGGCTGGCACACAGAAATCAACAACCTCCTCAGCAAGCAACGCCATCAATCCCCCTCTCCCTCAGCCCGTCCCCCCATTCCACTTGCCTCCTCAGACACACTTCTGTGCCTCATGCTACCCTGCATGCACCCTGCTTGTCAAGGGTTCAGCGAGATGGTGGTGCTCCGGATCAGCCTGTGACAGCCACTTCCATAGACTTCCAAAGGATGTCACTGCAATTTTCTGTCTTCTTTTCCTTAAATAGAAAAAAAAAAAATGAAAAAGGGGAAAACAACATTTTGCAAGACTTCGATTCCAGAGATGATGAGAGCATCTCCCAAGAATAGAAAGGATGCCATCTACGGCTATCGATCGTGCGACCTACGGCTTCAGATCAGCAAGCGCACGCTGCTCCTCATGAAGAGATGGAGCATGTTCTCATTAAAAAGGAGAAGAAAAAAAAGATCAGCCAGCAACAGTCCCAGAAACTTCTACAGGATGTCAGCCACAGCAGGCTTCATACTGCTGCGCTGTTCATTGGCCTGTGAACAATTTATGCTCACCTGCATGCAGAACCACCATCTCACTGAGCCCTTGAGATGCGCCCACAGTGCTGCGATGCAGTCACGAGCTTGGCACAGAGCACGATAACCAAGTGGTGGCGTTCAAATGACCCCGCACAGCTCTGATGTCAGCATCAGCCTCTCGCACACTTATATGGGATATACAAGAGACAGCACCGTGTCATGTCCAGCAAAGAGAGTCCTGCAAAGAAAGGACGGGATGCCAATGCCCGATCAGCCAGTCAGTGCACAAAACAACAACCACAGGCATAGTACGTCAGCAACAAGCAGTCGAACGAATACAGTATATATTGTCACATAACGATGAACTAAAAGAGCACACTTTGCGAAACAAACGGTAAAAAGATGAAAAAACAAGAAAAAGATGAGGGGCACACTGAAACCATTCATGTTTCTCATTCTCCTTTTAACTCCCCCTTCACCGCGCCTCTCACGTACAAGGCTCGAGACGTTGAGAAAAGTCGCAATATACATACATATGCATATAGGCATTTGCCCGCTTCTTGATGCACAGCCATTTAGCCTAAAGCAGTGAATTCCTGATATAGACAAGCAGCTTGAAGCAGGACAATATAATATACATCCTCAGCACAGTCCGGTCATCCAACTCCATCCCCAAACTCGCACCGGGGATGACATAATTATATACATCCTATACAAAACAAATACACACTTCATATCCCATAGGCGACAAATCCAGCATATAGACAGGCATGACTCACTCATTGTTTGGGGTATTCCAGGGGATACGAACTCTCCAATCTCTGTATCCTTCTATTCATGAATGGCGCCACAGGGACTCAGCTAACAACACAGGCGGGAAAAGGCACACAAAGCCAGCAGCAGACACACAACAACACAAACGAAATCAGACTGAATGGGTAGCTCCTCATCTAGCTGCAAGAGCACACTCAATGGAAGCGACACACCAGACAAGCCTGTGCCCAACCAGCCTCCACAGCTGCCCACCAGTGACAACAATCAGACATACTGCACGACTATACTATAGCCCATATTGACCGACCAATTCTGTCTGGCCAGTCTCGGCGCATTGAAGAAGGTGGGGGGCGTCCGTTTTTTTTCGGCGGGGAGCCTTTTTGCCCCCATGGAAGGTCATAGAGCCCAAAAAATAAATAAAAAAATGAGGCCCGATTTCAATGTGGAGCAATGTGGACGTATGCTTTCTCTCCAGGCTTTTTTTTTTTTCCGGTCTTGTCATCCTCATACTCTTCTTCTTCTTTTTCTTCTTCTTCTTCCTCCTTGCTTCTTCTTCTTCTTCTTCCTCCTCCTCCTCCTCCTCCTCTCTTCTTCTTCTTCTTCTTCTTCTTCTTCTTCTTCTTCTTCTTCTTCTTCTTCTTCTTCTTCCACATACACACCTGCAATAAGTCTCTGACATACCAGCAGGACAGTCGAAATGCACCTGCTATGACCCCAAGTCAAATGCCAACCCCCGCCCAAGAACCCCCTGAACTACCACGGCCCTTGGACCAACCACCCGAACCCACCCCAGGCCCCCTCCACCCAAACCCACCCCGAAGTTTAGTTTTTTATTGCAGAATTGGGGTTCTCTGGGGTAGTGCAGCAAAACCCCACCTTCCGGGGGGGGGGGGGGGGAACTGCTGGTTTTTTGGGCTGCCTGGGTTTCCCGGGCGGACCCCCCCGGGCCCGCCTGGCCGGGCGGCGGCCCAGCCTAGTCGGTTTCGCTTTTCTGCTTAGTGAATTGTTCTGCAAAGGGTACATGACGTGTGAGAGGCAGCGTACATGGCAAGCAGTTTTGAACAATAGACAGCCTGCTGCAAGCAGCAGTCCGAAGATTGATGCGCTTCCCCATTGAGTCTGTGCAGCACAAGAAGGCCCTTCCTTCAGCTTCAGAAAAACAGCCTAGATGAGAGCCTCAGAGTCTCCTTCCGACGACGACCAGCCCAGAGGTAGCGCAATCTGCAGCGGACACCTGAAGCAGAAGACAAAACGGCACGACAGAAGCAAAAGAAGGCAGAGAGAATTGCCTTCTCCCTTCAGTTAGTTTGCAAGCAGAGTAAACCTTTTCTTCTTTTAAAACCAATTAATTATATCCGAGGAAAAAAAGGAAGTTGATCTAATAAGCATGTCCAGGCAATCACATCAAAATAACTTTATGGCTGACTGGTCACAATTCAAAAGCCAATCCCAAACAACATGTTGTGCTACTACTCTGCATTCCCTTTCTCTGTATTCGTGTCTGTCATCAGAAGCGCAACCACACCACTGTCTGATTCAAGGAAAATAGCTATGATACCATTCTGACATGGACCAGCACGTGGTCAAAAGCCAGAATCCCAAACTACACATCATCATGAACCTGGCTGCTGCTTGCCAAACGAGATTCCCAGTGCTTGGACCGAAATCAGCATAGTCGTGGCTTCCTTTCATCTACCATCATCCTGAGGTTCTAAATATTACCTTCGTACTTGCGCCATGTGCTGGTACGCCTTGGAAGGTACAAAGTCCAACACAATGCAACTCCTCAAGTGTCGCATACCGTAAAGGTGCAGACCAGAACAAGAACCAACCTCTCTCACATAGTACAAGATAGTGCAGCGGAAAGCCAACATACCAATGATCCGACCAATCAATGTCGCAATGCAGACCAAACATACATCATCATCATCGCATGGTGTGAAGGGACCTGGCGCTCACACGGGAAGAAGGCTTCAGTCCCACACATACACAGACGAAGAGGAGGGGCATTAGACGAAGAAGAGGGGAAGATGGGAATGTCGTCAACACCAAGTCTTCGTTACAGGTCCCAAATAATCCCTCGTCCAATGTCTCAATCCCAAT